TAAAAGTGCAGGAACATAATTATTCTCCCAGAAACCCATTTTACAGCTTTCTTGTGAAATTTTTCCAATTTTTTGAGCAAAGTCACATTTGGGTTCCAGGCACATGAGTTATACAAAAGAATACTTTGAAAACAGGCAACATACACAGAAAATTTCGTCTTTACCGGGGCGCTAAAAGGAACAGTCCGTTTGATATAATAAAAGCTCCGCATGCTTTTGCCCAATTTAATATTGATATGGTTGTTCCAATTAAGGTCTGGACATGAATTGACACCCAAATCTTTAACCGAATTAGATATAGTTATGGCGGTATCATTATGAAAAAATTGACTGTTTGTGACATTTGTGATTAACACAGTTTTGCTGGGTTGAAAAATTAAACCATTATCCTTGACCCAATTTGCAAATGAGTTAATATCAATTTGGAATAACTCGGGACTAGACTTTGGGAATAGCTTTAAATCGTCTGCAAAAAGGTAATAACTGGACCACTTCACACAATCAGGTAAATCATTAATAAAAATTAAAAATAACAAAGGGCCCAAAATACTACCCTGTGGTACACGACTGGGAACAGCAGTACAGGACGAAAGAGAAGTATTTATGCGGACTCTCTGAGTGCCACCTGAAAGATACGAAGAAAGTAACTATATAAACGCATCATCAAAACCAAAAGCGCGTAGTTTGAATAAAAACTTATTGTATGACACAGTGTCAAATAATTTTTGAACATCAAAATAAACAGAAAAATAATCAGTATTACCATCACAAGAGCTGTACACTTTATCAATGTAGTCTAATAGCCTAGTAAACGTACTGCGCCGGCATCTAAAACCGTGCTGTGCATTTGAGAATCGTCACGAACACGGTTCTAAAGAAAATTAAACAGGATTTTCTCTAGAACGAGAGACAATCGGGGTAAAATACTAATGCCTCTGTCGTTACACACATCAATTTTACTGCCAGATTTGAAAAAAGGTATAACATACAATTGTTTCCAAATATTTGGCCGGAGACGCGTAGAATTAATGCAGGTAAAAAGAACGTAAACAAGCGGCGCTAAAATATTGGCACAGTTTCTAAAAATGAAAGAGGGGATACCATCAGCTGCAACCGTGGCAGCGTCCGGAGTTTTCTTTAAAAGCAGTTCAACATCACTGGAACTAAAATTGACTTCATCTAATTTAATACAAGTGTCTTCGCTCACTTCAGGCATCGGCATAAAAAACCACTCTTACTTAAAAACCGAAGATAAAATTATATTGAATAAATTTGCTTTGCCATGGTCGTTTGACGCTTTTACTGACATGTAAGTAATTTCAGGAGGTAGCATACCAACACCAGATAAATTTTTAAGAAGTTTGTAACAATTATCTGTATCAAGAGTTTCAAAATTAGATATTAATGTTAATTTGTCAAGCTCAACGGACTCCATAAGGGTAGCCTGCAAATCACCAAGTTTTTGAGAGCTAATTAACCCAACAGACTTTAACCGTCTCTTCTCAGTAGCAACCATATTAGTGACGTGAACAGAGTGGCTAGAAAAATAAAACGGTAAAAGCTGCCTTTTCTTGCGCTTGACATTAACAGACATGTAAACTGCATTGACTAGGATGTTGTACCAACTATCAAAAAAAAAGTTGAGCATCCATTTGATAATAGTACAAAAGAAAATTGTTGAAATACATCAGACCAAGGTCAAAATTAGAAAGACTAAAACTGCCTTTAGAGTAAACGGGAACTTCGCAGGAACTGGATATTTGTTCGTTGTAATTAATGTGAATGTTGATAGAAATTGGATAATGATCCGAACAAAAAATGTTGGAAAGGACAGATACAGAGCAAAGATTTGAACAGTTAGTAACAAAAATGTCAAAATATTACCGTTAAAATGAGTAGTGTTCTCGACTAATTGAACGCCATTAAACTGTTCAAACAAATCAATGATTAAATTTGAATAGTCTGAACAAGCGGTATAAGACATCCAACAGATATCCGAAGAATTAAAGTCGCCGCAAATACAAATAAATTCATCAGGATGCCTAGCAGCAAATCTGCTAGTATATGATAAAGTACACGAGTTGAGCACATTACTCTGAATGCGGTACTCGGAAGAAACTGGTGGGTTGTAAATAGTAACAACAAGCAAAGGGGGGTCGGAGTTGATAATACAACCACAAGCAAAATCGTAATCAGCGCTAGTAAAATCGTAAGCGGAATACTGGGAGCAAGTTTTGTACATAATTGCAACTCCGCCATGAATACCATTGTGCCTATTGTTTTGTGATATAACAGTATAACCACAGTCAGGAAGGATATTATCAGTAGTTTCCAGCCAGGTCTGTGAAAGGCATAGAAAATTGGGATTGTAAACAGATAGAAAGTTAGCGCAGTCTAATCGTTTTTGTACACTCGCCATACTGCGAATGTTCCACACAATAATACTAATGTCGGATAGGCAAGACTGGAGAATAATTTCTACGTTTTTATGGAAAAGCTTCAGATTTTTTGATTTTTAGCTCAGCTTTAGGAGTTCCATTTTGCATGGGCTCCCAGCGTTTTTTCAAAACACGCTTTTCCAAAATAACTTCTTCTTTTGACAGCAATTTGTTAATAAAGACTGGGTAATTATAATTCCGAAGTTTATATCCTTTTGTCAAGCAATTCCTAGCAGTCCATTCATTGGAAAATTTAACAATAAGGAATCAAGGGCGATCCGATTGTTCGTTAAAGGGACCAAGCGGTGTTACCAGAAGCCGTTTCTAATAATGAAAGGGGGGATACCATCAGCTGCAACCGAGGCAGCGTCCGGAATTTTCTTTAAAAGCAGTTCAACATCACTGGAACTAAAATTGATTTCATCTAATTTAATACAAGTGTCTTCGTTCACTTCAGGCATCGGCATAAAAAACCACTCTTATTTGAAAACCGAAGATAAAAACGTATTGAATAAATTTGCTTTGCCATGGTCGTTTGACGCTTTTACTGACATGTAAGTAATTTCAGGAGGTAGCATACCACCAGATAAATTTTTAAGAAGTTTGTAACAATTATCTGTATCAAGAGTTTCAAAATTAGATATTAATGTTAATTTGTCAAGCTCAACGGACTCCATAAGGGTAGCCTGCAAATCACCAAGTTTTTGAGAGCTAATTAACCCAACAGACTTTAACCGTCTCTTCTCAGTAGCAACCATATTAGTGACGTGAACAGAGTGGCTAGAAAAATAAAACGGTAAAAGCTGCCTTTTCTTGCACTTGACATTAACAGACATGTAAACTGCATTGACTAGGATGTTGTACCAACTATCAAAAAAAAAGTTGAGCATCCATTTGATAATAGTACAAAAGAAAATTGTTGAAATACATCAGACCAAGGTCAAAATTAGAAAGACTAAAACTGCCTTTAGAGTAAACGGGAACATCGCACGAACTGGATATTCGTTCGTTGTAATTAATGTGAATGTTGATAGAAATTGGATAATGATCCGAACAAAAAGTGCTGGAAAGGACAGATACAGAGCAAAGATTTGAACAGTTAGTAACAAAAATGTCTAAAATATTGCCGTTAAAATGAGTACTGTTCTCGACTAATTGAACGCCATTAAACTGTTCAAACAAATCAATAATTAAATTTGAATAGTCTGAACAAGCGGTATAAGACGTCCAACAGATATCCGGGTAATTAAAGTCGCCGCAAATACAAAGAAATTCATCAGGATGCCTAGCAGCAAATCTGCTAGTATATGATAAAGTACACGAGTTGAGCACATTACTCTGAATGCGGTACTCGGAAGAAACTGGTGGGTTGTAAATAGTAACAACAAGCAAAGGGGGGTCGGAGTTGAGAATACAACCACAAGCAAAATCGTAATCAGCGCTAGTAAAATCGTAAGCGGAATACTGGGAGCAAGTTTTGTACATAATTGCAACTCCGCCATGAATACCATTGTGCCTATTGTTTTGTGATATAACAGTATAACCACAGTCAGGAAGGATATTATCAGTAGTTTCCAGCCAGGTCTGTGAAAGGCATAGAAAATTGGGATTGTTAACAGATAGAAAGTTAGCGCAGTCTAATCGTTTTTGTACACTCGCCATACTGCGAACGTTCCACACAATAATACTAATATCTGATAGGCAAGACTGGAGAACAATTTCTACGTTGTTATGGAAAAGCTTCATATTTTTTGATTTTTAGCTCAGCTTTAGGAGTTCCATTTTGCATGAGCTCCCAGCGTTTTTTCAAAACACGCTTTTCCAAAATAACTTCTTCTTTTGACAGCAATTTGTTAATAAAGACTGGGTAATTATAATTCCGAAGTTTATATCCTTTTGTCAAGCAATTCCTAGCAGTCCATTCATTGGAAAATTTAACAATAAGGAATCGAGGGCGATCCGATTGTTCATTAAATGGACCAAGCCGTGTTACCAGATTAATGTTGTTTTTATCCCATTAACCGAGTGTTTCTAGATTATTCTTTAAATGTTCTTCATCGTGTTCCAAACGCTTTGCACTGGGCAAGTTTATAGGTTCAGGTATACCCTGAATTCTAATTTCATTACGTTTATCAATGCTGTCCATATTATGAATGGCGGGATAGGGTTGCACTGGGGGGGTCCAAGTGTCCCCGATCCGGCACTGGGTCTGCACGATTAACTTGAGTTGTAACTTTTTCAACCACAACAGGCAATTGCTCAGAAATAGTTTCAGCAATAATTTTTCTCAATTTTGCAACTGTACTGGTATGTTTCTTCAAAAAACAAAAATTGCAGCGGAAAAGAAGTAACTATGCTGGTTTAACAGTTTAACAACTTGAGGTATGAGGTCGACAGGAAGTCCTGAGCAGGAATTGTGGAACCATGCCTCGCAAATATCGCACTGGATCCACTGTTCACCGGAAGCCCCACTGCCTTTCGTACACTTTGCACACAAGTCTTCTCCAGCTAGAGTCGAGCCAGATCTGCCACGTCGAACACCAGCCATTCAAACCGGAAACTATTTAATAAGTTTATCACAACAATTAGGCTAATACTACAATTTGTAGTAGGGAGCTGACACAAAGGCTATAGTTCCAGAATCAAAAAAATTCTGGCTAAAACAACAAAATTTTGAAATAACTTACATGTTAGCATGGAAAATAGCGACTAAACGAAATTGTGAAAACAAAAAGGATGAAAATTCTCAGAAATTTGCGACAAAATGTTTAAAGTTGTTACATAATAGTTGTTACATAATTTCAGAGATATTTGTAATGTTTTGATTGGTTGAATTTTTAAAATTTTGAAGTAATGATGTGTATGACACTTTTTGTGATCTTTGATCATTTTGTACAGATAGTTTAGAATTTTTACACCCCGAAGATGCACAAAAATGTGCGAAAACGTTCGTTTGAACTTTATTTTTAACGCATTCTCAAAATATTTAGATGTAAAATTTTGAAACCCTACGGCGTTGAGCCAATTCTCAATTACAGTCTCTCCTACAAGGATACGTAATTTAAAATTTTTTCCCCCTTGTTTTAGTGGAGAAATCTTTTTAGTTGAAAAATCTTTTTATATTTTACCATGTTAGAATTGAAATGGTCTTCATTGTAGCTGCTAGCTTCCTCTACCACAGCCTGGAACAACTTAACAACCGGAAAAAGAACAATTTCTGCCCAAAATTTTGGCTATTCCGGGACTTTTTTAAAACCCGAACACCACGAACTCACAGAAGAACCTCGCAAGCCTACTCTGCAGAGCACCTCTAGCAGAAAAACGTCAAGTGGTGGTGTGGCACGACCTCATCAATAATTCGATAAACAGCCACCGCACAAACAATTACAGAGCTTGTACTGCAGAGGAATTGACAGAAATCCTGAAGACAATGACAAATATCAGCGCAATTGTTTACTGTCAGAGAAACGGTACACCGGATATCAGGAACTAGCTGATCAGCTCGGGTATTTTTGTCTTTCCTATTACAAAGTGTCTCATTTCAAAGAGGAAGAGAAGAACGGAGCTGGTCAACGAATATCAGGCACTGTACCTGGACGTCCAGCTGAAGCTAAAATCTTTGCGAATTGTGTTCGAACACCAAAACAACCTGCCAGCTGTCTTGTCCAAGCTTCGTTCAAAAACGAAAAAGAAATCTCAATCGAAAAGCAGGGCGGAGAAAAGAAGACTGGTGAACATAGGCGAGGCAATTGTTGGTCCTACTGACGAAGAGGCTTCAACGAAGAGGGTGAGTTAAACTTGTGTTATTTGAGTTGCTTTGTGTCATGTGAGGTTTATTCCTCGTGGCCTGCAAACCAATGAGCACAGTTGTACTCCCACCTCCAATCTTGATTTGGACTTTGAAAAACAAACTCATTTGGAAATTAGTCCGTGATTATGCGTCCATATATGTTAAATTTATCAACTGTCACCAACGTGTTAATTTTTTGAGAGTTTGTCTAGAAAACGACATTATACCTGATTTTTTGAGGTTCAGGGTACCAGAAAATGGGGTGTTTTCGAACCAAGCGGTACACAGTTTTCAGACAAAACTTCTAAGAACGGAGATAAACAAGGCAAGGACAGATGAGAAAAACGTTGAAGTCAAACTAGAAAGGGCGAGAAGCGCAGTACAGAGGGGTGTAGATGAGAAAATTTGGCCTTCGGTAATTAAATATTATATCTTTGGGGACAAAGACAAACAGCAACAGTCAAAGAGACCCATCAGAAGAAGCTAATGAAACTATCAGACAGGCAGGACCGACCTCTAGGAGGCAAGGTGAGGGTTCGATAAGAGCTCTTGATGATGTTGAATTACCAAATTGGGTACAATAAGTGTTGGCATTAGGGCCGAAGCATCCCGTCAGGGGTAAATTTAATGAGACACACTTTCTCGCCGACATTGACATCTTTCTATCGGATCTCAAAAATCGTGAAATCCCCGGGGAGGCCCTTTGTGTGATCGAAGCTGTGGTAAAAGCCTATGCTAAAAGGGTGAAACGAACACCATCTGACAAAGGCGTTGAGAAGGCCCGAAAGTATCTGAATAGGAATGGTTTAGTTGCGGTACCGTATGACAAAGGCGTGGATTTTTGTGTAATGAGAAAGGACACCTACGAGAACAAGTTGTCGGCTACATTAGATTCAAATCAATTCAGCAAAAGTAAAGGAACAAGTGATGCGATTGTTTTGAAGATAGAAAGAGACATCAATAAGGAGTTGTTGGCTATGAGGAAAAAAGATGAAATAAGTGAGAGTCTCTACACAAGGATGAGGTCTACTGGGGGGCAGCCCCCTAGGCTTTATGGGTTGGCGAAAGTGCATAAAGTGAATACCCCATTAAGACCGGTCCTCTCCTTGCCTGGTAGCTCTTATTATAACTTGAACAAGGTTCTTGCAAAATTTTTCGAGAAAACTGAGGGCACAAACATCGAAACCAATTCACTGGATGCGAGAGAAATCTTAGAGAGCACTAATCTTGAGCCCAATGAAAATTTGATATATCTAGATGTGAAGAGTTTATACACAAATGTTCCACTGAAAGAAGCAATACATTTAGCTCTGAGAAAATTGTATGAGCAAGATGAACCACCATCAATTGCTAGGAAAACCATGAAGAGACTGTTGAACATGGCAGTTAGTCAAGTCCATTTCAAGTGCAATGAAACATGGTACGTTCAGAAAGATGGTTTGGCAATGGGGGCATCTCTTGCCGTTATTTTAGCAAATCTTTGGCTGAAGCAGTACAAAACTGCAACATCGAGGGATATTCCCAAAAAGTTTTTGCCCGAGAAAGATCTTAACGGAAAATGTCCCGAGCGCAATAAGAAAGTCACGTACAGGTCAAAAGGTGTAGAATGTGAATGCTGTTTGAACTGGTATCAAGTAAAATGCGGTGATATATCAGATGATGATTATCGAACTATAAGTGAAACCGTCTGGTACTGTTGAAAATGCATGGCAATAAGAGAGAAAAATAATTCAGTGCAACAAGCTAGGTTATTTCTGCGTTACATTGACGATATAGTGAGAACAGTGAAGGTTGATCCTGAAAAAGTGCTACGGGCTGCAAACTTACTACATTCAAATTTACAGTTCACAATAGAGACACCAATTACGAACGGAAATTTGGCATTTTTGGATTTACAAATTAGTATTGACAAAAGCAGGAAAATTAGCTGTGGTTGGTATCAAAAACCAACAGATACAAGTACCATACTAAATTTTAGAAGCTGCGCTCATCTTCAGTACAAGAGAAGTGTGATGAGGGAACTGTTCACCGGGTTTTCTGCAGTACGTCAACATGGGAAGAATATGATAAAGCTATGAAAATCAACCGTGAGCAGTGGTTGGATAACCAATATCCAGAATGTTGGTCGTCGCGGGTTGCATCCCATGCCCTTGAAAAGATCATCAGCGAGGGCAAAAACAAAAAGAACACGGTTGAGAAAAAGAAGCCCTGTGATTATAGCAGTGATTCACCACCCATCTTGATGGTCCAATATAGAGGGAATCACAGTCAAACATTAGCAAAAAAAGTGCGCGATATCACCAATGCGCTGATAATATTCACGACGAGGAAAATGAAAACTTGTATGCCCTCTCTAAAATCCTCCTTTTCCAGTGAACTGAAATCAAAAGTGGTGTACAGACTTGACTGTTGTGGGGGCAAATCTATCTATGTTGACCAGACGGTCCGACAACTCACCACAAGGATTGAGGAACACCGAAAAGAGGATACCCCAGTTGGACAGCATATAAATCAATGTGGTAGTGAGAGTAGTCAGTCTGAGTTTAATTGGAAAATAATTGACCAGGCGTCCAGCAGCGTCAAGTTACTTACATTAGAGGCGCTGCAAATTAGGAAAGAGAGACCGGCAATTAACACGCGCGAGGAGTTTAGAAGTAGGGAGCTGACACTAAGGCTATAGTTCCAGAATCGAAAAACTCTGGCTAATACAACAAAATTTTGAAACAAAAAGGATGAAAACTCTCAGAAATTTGTGACAAAATGTTTAAAATTGTTACATAATAGTTGTTCCATAATTTCAGTGATATTTGTATAGTTTTGACTGGTTGAATTTTTAAAATTTTGAAGTAATGTGTATGACACTTTTTATGATCTTGGATCATTTTGTACAGATAGTTTAGAATTTTTAAAACCTGAAGATGCACAAAAATGTGCGAAAACGTTTTTTTGAATTGACAATTTTAACGCATTGTCCTTTTACTAATGTCTGATACAAAAATGCTAACTTTTGAAATAACAATTTTTACCAATTGGGATTTTTTTAAAGAGAAATAATTTTTTAACAAAACCTACCGAAGAACCCACTGGTCATACTCAACAAAAATTCCAGAGTATAAATTTTTTGATTTCATCAATAGAATGCAAAAAAGAACAAATATGGTACCTGTATCTGTTGGTTTTTGATACCACCCACAGTTAATTTTCCTGCTTTTGTCAATACTAATGTGTAATTCCAAAAATGCCAATTTCCCGTTTGTGTTTGGTGTTTCTATTGTGAACTGTAAATTTGGATGTAGTAAGTTTGCAGCCCGTAGCACCTTTTCAGGATCACCCTTCACTGTTCTCACTAAATCGTCAACGTAACGGAGAAATAACATAGCTTGCTGCACTGACTTATTTTTCTCTCTTATCGCGATGCGTTTTCTACAGTACCAGACGGTTTCACTTATATTTCGATACTCATCAGTGGTAGCTTTAAATAAAATACAGCAAACAATCCCTTCGTAATTAAACCCTCTTTTAAAACTGATCTTTTTGCTGTTTGTTATGAACCTGTAATGCAATGTATTTAAGCTTGTGTACTACCAAAACATTATACGGTAGAAATTATGAATCGAAATTACAATCGGAAGATCATTCAACTTTTCGATACCCGGAAGAATGATCAATCAACAACAGTGCTGATAAGTTATCAATGATACAAGAAAAGCAACATAAACTACCGATATAAAATCCTTGCTTCAAAATTACATTGGAGGATTATTTTTTTACCGTCATTTACAAAAATGCTAAC